TCTAGTGACGTCACGTTTAGCCACACCCACTGACAGGAAATAATACAAATGAGCATCTTTGAAGGCTCATATCTCAGTGAAAAAATTTTTTTAGACAATGGGAGTTGGAATACATCATTATTATGGTCAGGCAATCATATTAAGCCAATAAAAAAATTCACCAAAAATACACCGGACTTACCCTTTAAGTTAGCAGATTGAAAGAGGTCAGAAAGAAGAAAAGGTAGGTCATCATCATCAGTATGTGTTTCAGGAGATGGAGTCTGCTCTTCCATAATGGATGGTGAAAAAAGTGATGGTGATGGAGGTGACTCTGTTTGATCCAAATGAATGTCAGGCTAACTATGAGCATTACATTGTCGTTGTGGATATCCATCTACAACAGTGAAAACAGCAGCGGAAGGATTGACAGCATAAAACGCATCTAACATTATTCCTCAAGATATTCTTGGTCTGTAGCTTGGTGTCACATCAATAGTTCTAGACTATGTAAATACACAGTTCCTACCCAGCCACTGCAAATAACAAACAGATACAAAATCATATCTCCAGGGCAAGAAATCACTTGCCTGGTGTAATAGTTGTAAGCCTTTAAGCTCTTGTAAGACTTTAAAGTTTCCTTAGTGTAGATGCTTTTGCTATTAATCAGGTAAGTATAGATATCACCAAATTCCACTTCAGGCCATAGTTCGATGTCATCTATCCACTCTTTTATCTCATAAGGATCTATACTCATGCAAAACTTCTTCCTAGCAAAGAGCTCTACTTTAGTAGCGTATCTCTTCTTATCTTGGCCAGAAAGAGTTGAATAATATCCACTATTGCCATTGGTAGCCATGCTTTAGAGGACTCCAAAATGGCGGACAGATTAAACTCCACCCATTAAAGGGTGGAGCTTTATATAGAACAATACGGTCTAGTCATGAATATACTTAGCGCCAACTGGTCTATACAGTGAGGAAAATTCCATTGCTGCTCAAATTGTCTGCTGATTTCTAACCACTCTTGAGTAGATGATGGTGCTTTAACAAATGGTTGAAGAACCGTCCAAATAGCTTCACAAGTTTCCTTCAGAATGGAACACACAGTAGCTCTACCAATTTGAAAGCTAAATGACATAGATACCTAATGTAATTAAAACAAAAACAGTAAATTTAAAATAGAAGCAAACGTTCAAGCTGGGAGTTGCCAGTAGCAAAAAACCTTAGTGTCAGTGCCAACTTCTCAGCTGCACTAATTCCAGCCCTGACTGAATAATAATTGGGGCATGTCAGTAATGGGCTGACCTATAAAAATTATAACAATCTCATATCACATAAACTTACTTTAAATAGAATATAGTCAAACCTCTCCTTTGACATTCTTAAGTAACGAAAGTGGGAATCAGGATCACTGAGCCTCAACTCTTGGATTAAATTGTAATATTCTCCCTGCTGTCTACGAAGGGCAAATATATGACAAATCCATATTCTTCTCAGCCTCTTTCTCTTCCGTATCCTTCTGCGCTGAAGTAAAAGGCATAATAACAAAGTAAGCTGTAGGTCATCTGCTCCAATATCCGCCATTTTATAGAGTAGCTTACAACTACAAGGGGTTAATAATTGTCACTGCTCTGACAAAATCATAATAATTGTGAACCAATTTCCGTAATGTACGTCACGTAACTGTTATTCCAACACAACTACCAACGTAAATTCTAAACCAGCCTTAAGGCAGCATGGGTCAAGATAAAAATACACATTGAAAATTTCTCTCCCATATATGTAGGAGAGATTTTGTGTACCCCTACACTAAATTAATCCCATATATATGGGAAACCTCATTATAATATAGTGTAACCCTACATCTATAGCTACTCCCATATATACTGGAAGGATGTAGTGTACCCCTACGCAAAATCTTTCCCATATACAGTGGAAGGATTTTGCGTACCCCTACACAAAATCTTTCCTATATATAGAGGAAGAATTTTGCATACCCCTACTCAAAACTGCTCCTATAACTGAACTCTATTTTTCATACATGAATAATTTTGCGTACACCATTGCAATGATTGCCTCTCTATTTAGGGGAACTATTTTGAGTAAAATTTTAGTATAACTTCAACTTAATTACATCAGAGCTAGCTTAAACGATTAAGCATTAATTAATTACTGTAGTTATTGAGAAAATGAATGTGTACAATGTATAGTTGAGTTCATATCATGTTATCTACTGCTATAATGTATATGAAGGGGAAGATTTAAATGCCAACTTTTAAAGCCATCTCATAACATAACATATTGATGTATTTAATCATTACAAACACTATAATTATAAGCAAATGAAGGGCATTTACAATCATTTGTAGCTAGTTTATGTTTTGAAATCTTTAAGGGTAGTACCAGATACTGTATAAAGTGCATCGTTTTGGTTCTTCTTGTGTCTTTGCTGACAAATGTTATGTAACAAATAAAGCAAACTTGATTATGCTTGCAGGACGTGCCATTTTACATTCCTTTTATTGCCATTGATAATCAATTAGCACCTTTTATGAAATGTACCATACATAGAGTCACATGTAGCCTTGCCAGACTAAGTCACATATACTTCAGAAGAGTCTAACTTCAGAAAACTTTACCATATTTCAGAGTCTTTGAGAACCTGACTTCAGATAGCCTTTAAAAAGCATTTTTTTATTTTGCTTTTTTATTCAAGTTATAAGGAGATCTACTCTTGGTGGTAGTTGTACAGTACAGTGTATAGCTGTACTTGTTCTATTCTGTTCAAATGGAGGAAGCTGAGCTTGATTTTTGTAAGTTTATTTTGTACCTAGAGGAATATTTTAAATTACTTTCATCAGGTAAAGAAAAAAGCTTACAGGAAAGAAGTGATTTTGAAGATGAGAATGATGAAGCATGTGGTATGTGGGGCATTGGATAAAACATACATTTATCTATTATACTTCCTTGTAAATGCATGTAAAAATTGCCTGGAGAAAGCTGACTTTTACTGCCAAGAATGTAAGAATACTTGCTGCAAAATGTGCAGTGCTGTACGGCATCGACAAAAAACTAGGAATAATCATGTCTTAACACGCCTCAGTAAACTTGATGTGCCTGTTGCTAATAAATTGACACCTCTGAGTTACAGTAAGTTGTGTATAATATGTTACTTAATGTTTCAATATTGTATTAGTTGACAATCTTGAAATTGAACTTTCGGGATTACTTGTGAAACATTTCAATTTAACGTCATTTAAAACTTTGCAATTGGAGGCTATTAAATGTGTACAAGAAAGAAGAAATTTATTAATAATACAGCCCACAGGTTCTGGAAAAAGCTAATGCTTTCAAATTCCCCCACTGGTCACAGGAAAAATAACATTAGTTTTAACACCCACCATTAGTCTCATGGCCGACCAGTGTTTAAAGCTTGAACACTGAGGAATACCAGCAACATTTCTAGGCAGCTCTCAAATAGACAAGGATATTGATGTAATGATTAAAGATAACTGTTTCAAAATATATTATGTCACACCAGAGAAGTTCTTTAATGAGAGTGGAGAACCATCATACTTGTTTGCTCACATGTTTGCTTGTGGACAAATAGCAATTGACGAAGTTCATTTACTACGAAGTTGGGAATCTTTCAGGTATGGATATAATAGTATATTGTAAATCATTGTTTCACTTCCATTCCTTAATATTTAATCTCTTATTTTATTAATATAGGCCTGCATTTAAGTACACAATTCCTTTTTGTCAACAGTGTCCCTGTTCAGTGATGGCACTAACTGCCACAGCTACACCAGATGTAAAGAAAGAATTAATTTCCTCATTGAATAATCCAGTCCAGACTATTGCATCTGTAAACCAACCAAACATATTTTATTCTGTCCATAAACTTGAAATTCAGCGTGATTTACAGGGAAATTTGTCAGTACATGTGTGATACTTTACTTGTTTTTCACAATACTAAAATTTGGCTGGTTTTGATTCCCAATGCATACTTTTGTATCTGTTTCAAAGAGTAGCTAATAACCGCTAAATTAAATACCTGCCAAAAACTGTCTCATTAGTCATTTAAGTTATAATGACATCCTGTATTCTATTTATAGATAATGATCGTGCTAGTCAAATAGCCAAGCAGATAATACCCTACTTAGAAAACCAGGAGCCGAGTTATTATATATGTAGATTTTATCAAAGATATGGCTCCACTTGCTATATCTTTGCATCAAGCTGGTTTTAAGACGTGTAGCTACCATGGACAAAAGATGTCTGGACATGACAAGATGCAGTCAATGGAGAGTCGCAGAAGTAATGCTGTAAAAATTATGGTTTGTACCACTGCATTTGGATTGGGAATTGACCAGCCTGATGTTGAAGTTGTAATGAGAGTAGGATGTCCTCC